AGCCTCAGTTAACTTTTAGAATTTATTTTATTATGTGCACCCCCCCCCCCCGTTTCTATTGTGGGGCTGAACAAACAGAAAATATCACTGCCTTGGATGTGTTTGACAATCTGATGAATTAAATTTGGGGATTAATTCCATTTAAATCATTGCACTTTTTCAGTTTTACCCTTAGGTGTCACACCTCGTTCCTCAGATTGGATTTGAGCAGAACGGTTTTTGTGTTAGTGTCATTGCTGCTTAGAAGATGTTCTGGTTTAATTTTGTGTGTGCTTTGCCGACCCTGGTAGCATAACAGAGGCAAGAACGGCTTGTTTGGAGCTGCAGTGTTGGCATTTGCTCTGAGATCTCACACATGAAATGTGTGAGAAATGAGTCATAAAGCTGCTTGGAACAGCACCCTGAGCATCTTTCTAATAATCTCACTTCTCAAAAAGAACTAGCAGTGTGACTTTAATATTTTTAGCGAGGCTTACTGATAATCAAGCATTAAAAAAGAATGAACTGTATTTGTTATGTTTGTTGATGCTGATTATGTCTCTGAGGTACAGCAAAACAAAAATAGAAACAACAGCATTGCGAGTCTTTGAGATTGGCAGATTCCTCTCCAGGTGAGATTTCATGGATTACCACCTACTTGCTCAGAGTGAAATAGACCTGTTACTCTTAAAGGTGCCAAAATGTTTTGTTTTTATGTGTGTTTTGTTTCTGCCATACCTGCTGAAACAGGCTCACATGGCTATATCCATGCCAATGGATTATTTCTGCTGAAAGCACATTCCCTTTTATCTTACTATAGTTTAATCCCTCCTCCAAACATTTAAGCCAATCCTACAGAACTGTGTCAAGCACAATACATTCAGGAACTGACTATCCAAGGGATGACATACACTGCCAGGAATGACACAGTGTGTTCAGGACCTGACTTCCCAAATGGACAAGAACACTGCTGGGAATGAATGGCAAGTCTTGTCTTCTGCCTCCTTAGGATCTCTCTCCATCTCTCTCCAGGTAGCAGACTTAATAATAAGGCCTAGCACATTTGCTGAGGGAAGACTGACATCACCTTGCTGCCTTGCTGTGTGTGCAGGATAATAACAGTGGTTGAAAAAACACAGGCACTAGTGAGAGGCACTACGAATCGTAAGGACCTGGAGAAAGCACTTGCGTTCTTTGACGTCTCTGGAATTTTTTGAACTAAGGGACTGCTGGCACTGAAAACAACAAAACCTTTCCAGAATACTCAATAGGAGGAAACCTGTCCAACAAGCCTGAAGAAAAATGCTGGAAACCCATTGGGAAGGGTAGAGTATCTAGGCCCTATGTTTAGGGCCTACATTCCTGCGGATCTAGGACTGAGGATTGTGCATTGATTTATTTGTACAGCTGTAGCAGAAAGAAGCCTGTTTGCACTTAACAGCTGCATGATATGCTTTCAGGACAAGTGAATTAGCCCAGGAGCACTATATCTGTGGCTGCTCAGTCAACTTATTTGTAGTGTGAACCTATTTCATTCTGGGATTTGAGCACTGGCTAAATTTTTGTCTGATCTCCAAATGAAAAAACCCCACCCTGACATTCCAGTGCTCCCTCTGCATCAAAACAGGAGATATTAAATACTGGATGCTTCCGTTTGGGGTGTTTTGCTAGTTGGGTTAATATTTAACAATAGCATGAATTTCCCAGCCTTCACACTTGCTTTCTGTTTGTCCTCTTTGTTTTTATAAGATATCATTCATATAGTCCACTGATGCACACATAAAGTTTTTGCTTCAGTATAAAGAGCAGTTTTGCCATCTTCGTTATGAAAGAGACCGAACATTCCTCTTCCTAATCTTCTGTACCCTCTTGTGTGTGTGAAACCACCCTGACCTAGACTGTTAATGTATAATGTGGAGTTATGCATTTCTATCTTATCCTTAGGCGTCCCTTCGTCTTCCAAATCTGGTGTGTGTGTCTGTGTAGAATACTGGTTATAAGGTATTTCTTTGTGAAATATAAAGGCTGGATTCTGCGAGCACCTTCCACTCCTTAGACACAAATGTCTTTGCTACTGACAAATTTGTTCCAAAGAGAAGTATGTCTTGCCATTGGAACAAAGGGGACCTGGTGCTCTGCTGTTGCACTCTTTTCTTGTCATTCAAATGGCCCAATAGAAAAGGAGCAGTTTGGGGCTCTAAGGTTTAGACAAGAACAAAACTGAAGATGGCTGTCGTAAGTCACGATTGGACCTGTCTTGAGGATCAGTCAACGATCTATGCATCAAATGCATGTAACTAAGCCTCAATGCTTTTTAAATTAGAATTTGAGGCACAGGGGGAAGTAAGATGAGAAGGGAATTCTGATCCTCTGTCTGTTTGCTGTTTTTCTACTCAAAATTCCTTTCCAAATTCTAGTTACACATTTACCCTCTGAAGGATGTTTTTCACACATTCGGGGGAGGGAAGCATAAAACATCACTGTCTCTTTGCACACATAGTGAGCACCATCTGCAGAAACACTACACCACTAATTTGGTACGCTGCTAATTTGACATAATTAATATATATCAGGCTGCTAATAATAAACTGCTAGGAGTTGCGTCAACATCCTTTTCAGACTCGTGTCAGAGGTGGGAAGGCTTAGCCTGTATTAAAGGCACTGCACATTCTATAGCTATGTGTTTAAAAATAACCATTGGAACAAAAGATATGCTTTCTCTTCACTTTATTCTGATTAGCCTGTAGAAATACAGAGCATATGTGTTTGAAGCAAATATGGAGCATTTCAAGAAGGGATGTTGTTTAAGTATACCAAGAAGTCTGTGCATTATTTGTGGAGAATTGAGAAATTAAATTGCATTTTATGAGGTCCAAAGACTGAGTTGATGTTACAAGGAAAGGGAAATGAGAGGTTCTAGATTTGAAGAGAAGGTGTGTCTGATTTGGCTAATTCTCTGGGGGTTTGGGGGGATTTGGGGTTTTGTTTTTGTGTTTTTCTTGTGTTCTTGTTTTTGTTTCATTTTTGTTGTTTGAGGTATGCTCTGAAAAACCCAAATGGATGAGTTTCTTGCCAATCTTCAAGCAAGAGAAAAGAAAGTCTGTAGAGGCTCAGAATTGGAGATGTGTTTCTCCTTAGATGGAAACCATGGGGGTGTCAATTCCTTCTAAGGAATGTGTATAATGGCTTCCTCTCCATTCCTGTTCTTACCTCCAAAGCACAATAGACCATCATTTGCTTTATCTCTGCCTTCATATCCCGATATATAAGTGTTTGCGACCATATCTCCTCAACCACCAGTATCATTAGCTGACAGAAGGCACCCTAACCCCTTAAGAAATCCTGTCTTTTCTTCTTGGCTACTTCCTGTCCCTGGAGCTGCCCTCCAGAACACCTATATGACAGTCATCCCTTTTTGTTTCCTGCAGGGACTCCCCAAAGTTTTTTTTTTTTGGTTGTACCTTTTATATTCTTCTTCAATTTCATCCCCTTCTGACATCAAGCCACTTGTAATATAAAATGCATCTTCTTCTTTCCTCTCATCTCTTCCTTCCTCACCTGAACTGAGCTGAAGGCAGGGTCTTTTTATTACTGGTGGTGTCACAAAGTGCTACAGTATTGGTGACCAGCAAGATCAAGGAAGTGGGGATGCTGGGATAGTAAACAAGGTCATGAGTGGCAGCCACAGTGAGTGGTGTTGGCCACCACTGGGCCTGTCAGGGAGAAAGAAGCCTGCAGTGAAAGGGGGCCAGGGAGGGTCTGGAACCTTCGGTTTTTGACTCCTCCCTGGCATTCCTGTACCTGCACAGTTTCTAAACTGTCATGGGGCCTAGCAGATTTTAAATCTCTGTGCTATGCAAGTTTACAGTTATAGAAAACCTCTCTTCCAAAAGCATAGTGGAGGAAGCATGCAAAAATGTTAACAGAAACAGGACTGACTCATTGATATGATAAGGTTCCTTCCTTTCACCCCTCCTCAAACATCCCCTGCAATTTTGCTGTGTGTTTTCCCTTGCATTTATGTGTATCGTGATAGGGACATGCACATGTGGCGATGCCACATAAATGTAGAGTTCTGGTATGCTTGATTTTAATTCATAGCCTGGTAGAAAAACTGTAAAAGAGAAAAATTATCTCACCGCCTCCCAGCAATACAGAACAGAAACAAGAGCTGCTCCAATTCTAGGCTGCCCCCAAACTTACATCTTCTCACTTAAATTCTTCCCTGTTCTTCTTCCTGGAGGCATTGAAGAGAAAATTGGACAACTGTCTGTCAGATCTGCTTTGAATTGGATTCCAGTATTGAGCAGGGGGTTGGACTCCATGCACTTATACGGTATATAGGCCCCTTCCAACACACTGATTCTATGATTCCTGTCTGTTCTGTAGGTGGTGTTTCATGGTTCTTATTCCTGCACAGACAAAGGAAAACAAAGAGAGGTGATGTTCTTTCCCCTGCCTCTCTTCCCTTTCTCCAGAATGGGCAGTGCAGGGCCTTGTCATTTCTAGACCCTTGACAGATGACTACTTAAAGCCGTCATTTGATGGAAGAATTTCAGGAGAGCAGACCTCAATCTTCTACAACCTGTCGCCCTGAGGATGTGCTGGAGTATACCTCCTGCCATCCACAGCCAACAGCTATAATGGTGGGGATTGCTGAGATTTGTAATCAAAAGTGCATATCAAAAGTGTGAGGCCTGGGAAGGCCATTTCAGTTCGTGCAACCAGTTGTATATAAAAAGTACAGAATCTGATGACTCCAAATATTCCTGTGGATTTAAATTGTTGTGCAACTTTTGTCTCAGGAGAACAGGGAGGGTTAACAGAGAAATTGTTTCTCCATTAGAAAGCTTGATGAAAAGGGATATTTCAGGGCTCTGCGTATGGCTTACTTCTAAATTAACAGATTAAGAAGTTAG